ACAAAGTTCCACCGCACGAGGAGTAAGGATGGAAAGCTTTCGAGAAGGAAGGACATCCTCCTGGACGGCGTGAGGAGCAACTCGCATCCGGGTGAGTCTCATCCTCGAGATCTGGTCCTTGAGATCTGGTCCTCGAAAATACTTAGTCTTGTGTCTTCCTGAGGTTCGTGTGTTGACCTTGCCTGCCTTTATCTCCCTTTTCCTCTTCCTCTTCCTCTTACTTTTTCTCTTTCTTATCTACTCTTTTCCTTTTATTTTTCTCTTCTTCTTTTTTCTACTCTTGCTCCTCCTTTCCTCTTCTTCCTTTTTCGTTTTTTTTTTGTTTTTGTTTTGTTTTTTATCTCTTCCTCCTTTCCTCTCCTCTCTTATTGTTTTTCTTTTCTTTTCGCTTCCCCCTCCTTTCCTCTCCTCCTTTCTTTCCGTTTCATCATCTCTCTTTCTGTCTCTGGTGTTTGGTTCCCTCTTCCCTTATCACTTTTCATTCTTTCGTTGTCCGTTTTCATCAATGATCATTCTTTTTCTTCCTTTTCTTCTTCCTTTTCTTCTTCCTTTTCTTCTTCCTTTTCTTCTTCTTTTTTCTTCTTCTTTTTTCTTCTTCTTTTTTCTTCTTCTTCTTCTTCTTCTACTACTACTACTACTACTACTGCTACTTATTATCATTATTATTTTTATTTTTTTCTTCTTCTTCAATCACTACAATTTCTTCTTCTTTCCCCTCGTACCTCCCCTTAGCTATCCCTCCGGAGTTAAATTTCGGGATTCGTTTGGTTCTGTTCCTTCCCCTTTTACGGTGCCGGGAAGAGCATTCTTTCGTTTATTCTTTCGTACTTGTTTATTTTCTTTCTTTCTTTTTTACTCTTTCGTACTTGTTTATTTTCTCTTTCTTTCCTTCTTACTTACTTTCTCTTTTTTTTTCTTACTCTGTTTCTTTCTTTGTTTATTTATTTATTATTTTTTTCTTTCTCCTTTCTTTCATTCTATGTTTCTTACTTGCCTATTTTCTCTCTCCTTTCTTTTTCTTTCTTATTTACTTTCTCTCTCCTTTTTCTCTTTCCTTCTTTCTTACTTACTTTCTCTCTTTCCATCTTGCTTTCTTTCTTCCTTACTTTCTTTTCTTCTTTCTTTCTTGCTTTCTTTTTTCTTCTTCTTCTTATTTATTTCTGAGGTATTTTTCCCCCTCACCTATTTTCCTGTTTCGGCAAATGGTAATATCAGTGGGGTGTTTATGGCATATAAAAAGGGGGGGGGGGGAGGCTAGTCCATTTATTTCTAGAAAATGCCTGTGTGTGTGTGTGTGTGTGTGTGTGTGTGTGTGTGTGTGTATATGTATGTATATGTATGTATGTGTATGTTTGTGTGTGTGTGTATGTTTGTACGTATCTCTTCATTCTATGCGATAGGAAATTTAGCAAAATATTCGTGCCTTTTTAACTGAGGGACTTAATAGATCAGCTGATTATTCCAAATTAGTCTCACTTTTTTATGGTCTCTCCTTTTTTTCTTCAATTTTTTTCATCCCTAATCGGTATTTAATGAGTTAGGAGTTTCGAAGAGGGAAATAGAGAGAAAAAGATGAAAAAGGGAGCTAAGCAGTCACGAAGAAAAGAGGGAATAAGATAGATTAGTAATAGAACAGGGTTGCGTTTGAGAGAAATTAATGTCATATCACTTTAGAACAGGGTTGCGTTATTGAGAATGTTACAAAGGGAAATTAGAAAGTACTTTTACACTTTTTTTTTGTAAGATTAAAATTAGATTATGGAGGTAATTTGTGTTTTTTTTATGTATGGGAGAAAATAGTATCTGTCTGTGAAAGTCATTTGCATTAAATTTGCGAACGTTATAAAGCCGGATTAGAACTGTAGCCGTGACCGCGCGTTCCTATTTTCAGAGGGGAATATTTTAGCTTTTCTCTCTCTTTCTTTCTATCTCTTTTTTTCTCTCTCCCTTAATCTCTTTCCTCTCTCTCCCTTAATCTCTGTCTCTCTCTCTCTCTCTCTCTCTCTCTCTCTCTCTCTCTCTCTCTCTCTCTCTCTCTCTCTCTCTCTCTCTCTCCTCTGTTTCTGTCTCTGTCTCCCTCTGTCTCCCTCCCTCCTTCCCTCTCTCTCTCCCTGTCTCCCTCCCTCCCCCCTCTCCCTCCCCCCTCTCTCTCCCCCCTCTCTCTCTCCCTCTCTCTCTCCCTCTCTCTCTCCCTCTCTCTCTCCCTCTCTCTCTCCCTCTCTCTCTCTCCCTCTCTCTCTCTCCCTCTCTCTCTCTCCCTCTCTCTCTCTCCCTCTCTCTCTCCCTCCCTCTCTCTCTCTCTCTCTCTCTCTCTCTCTCTCTCTCTCTCTCTCTCTCTCTCTCTCTCTCTCTCTCTCTCTCTCTCCCTCCCTCCCCCTCTCTCTCTCTCTCTCTCTCTCTCTCTCTCTCTCTCTCTCTCTCTCTCTCTCTCTCTCTCTCCTCTCTCTCCCTCTCTCTCCCTCTCTCCCCTCTCCTCTCTCTCTCTCTCTCTCTCTCTCTCTCTCTCTCTCTCTCTCTCTCTCTCTCCTCTCTTTCTATCTTTCTATTTCTCTATTTCTCTTTTGTATGGATACCATTAACAGTGATGTATGTAACAAGTTTGTAATGCAATAAGCTACTTAGCATGTATTCGAAAGGACATTAGTGTTTCCGAAATTATTCTGAAGCCCCCCCCCCCCCCCACACACACACACACTCCCACATACTTAACGCTTGTATGTAGCGTGATGTACATGCGCCAACCCCACCCCACCCACAAACACACACACCCTCCCACCTCCTTATTCAAGCACCACCCCCTTACCCCTCCCCCTCCCCCCTCCCCACCCAAACTAAGCATAGCTCAAGAGCGTCCGAAAGAGAGGCGAGTACCTAACCCGCATCCCCCCCCTTATCTTCCCCTTTTCCCCCTCTTTCCCTCCCCCTTGTATACGTTTCATGGAGTGGCGAGTACCTTGACTCCCCCTCCTCCCCCATCTCCCCCTCTCCCTCCCCCCTTCTCCCCCTTCTCTCCCTCTTTCCCCCTTCTTCCCCTCTCCCTCCCTCTTTCCCTCCCCCCTCCCCCCGTACGCGTTTCACCGAGTATCGAAAAGCTTAACTAACCACCTCCCCTCTCTCTTTCTCTCTCTCTCTATCTCTATCTATCTATCTATCTATCTATCTATCTATCTATCTATCTATCCCTCCCCCTTTCCCTCCCCCCCCGTACGCGTTTCACTGAGTATCGAAAAGCCTAACTAACCACCTTCCCTCTCTCTCCCTTTCCCCTTACCCCCTTCCCTTGTCGCTCCAGACGTGAGTGTGGAGCGGCAAGACAGCACGACCGACTACGCTGCGGACAATTCCTCGGCCGAGCACTCGTCCTCTTGCACGCCGGTGTCCATGTCGCCGAGGAGGGGCCCGATGCTGTCCCAGAACCGTCAGAACTCGCAGGGTAAAGACGTCGACGGTTATTGTGGTCTTTGTTTATTGTTATTGGTAGTTTGTTTATGTTTAGTTAGTTAGTAGTTTGTTTTCATTTATTTAGTTAGTAGTTTGTTCTCATTTATTTAGTTAGTTAGTTGTTTGTCTTTTTTTTTCTGGTAAGGGGGGTTTCTTGGTCGTTTTTTTTTTTAATGAAGAGGGATTTGTGATTTTGTGTGTATTGTTAGTGGGAATGTGTCTTTTATGTTTTAATTATTGTTTCGAAGATATACTAGATAGTTTTAGCTTGTTTCAGGTTAAAAAAAAAGTATATTACCCAAGTCGTTTATTATTATTATTTTTTTTTACCAGTAGCGGACTCATTTTGTTTTATTTTTGGTTATTTAACGATTGGATTTATTAGTTGTATAAATTCGATAATTGTTTTTGGTCAGTATATGTCTTAGATTTTTTTTTTTTTTTTTTTTTTTTTTTGAGGGATAATTTGTAGCTTCCCGTTCTTCTACAATTTGCATTTTCATAATTTTTTGCGTAATGAAATATAAGTTAACTTTATTTTTTATTGTATTTGGATATTCTACTCATGCATTCGGTATTTAGTTTAGGTTATACACTAACTTCAGAATCCTTTTTTTCAGTATTTGTTAATTAGTCACCAGGTTATATGGAAAAGACTTTTTATTATGCTCAAACGTATTTGCAAATATTTGTTTATCAAAACAATATATGTAATAAAGGTAATAACTAATATAATATTATTTGTCTTGATTACGAAAGACGCCATTCATAAAACTAAAGGTTTATTTGGAATTCAGCAAATTTTGATTTGGAAATCCTACAGTGTTTATTTAAAAATCTCGTCCGGTGATTGTAGTTAAGGACTTCAAAGTCTTCAAAGAGAAGAGTGTGCTTTAGAGCAGTTGATTAAATCTCTCTTTCTTTCTTTTTTCTTTCTTTCTTTCTTCGCTTTCTTCTTTTTCTCTCTCCCTCCCTCTCCCTCCCTTCTTCCCTATTTTTTTCCTCTCCCTCTCCCTGCCTTCCTTTCTCCCTCTCCCCCTCCCCCTCCCCCTCCCCCTCCCCCTCCCTCTCCCTCTCCCTTCTTCCCTCTCTTTCCCTCTCTTTCCCTCTCTTTCCCTCTCCCTCTCCCTACCTCCCTCTTTCTTTCTCTCCCTCTTCTTCTCCCTCTCCTTCTTTCTCTCCCTCCCCCCACACTCCCCATACACAGACGTAGGTGGAAGTGCCATCTCTGGTGCCCCTGATCCTGGCGACCTGAGTAGCGTGCCCAGCGGTGCCAACCCATCCAGCCTTACGCCCCCCACCCCCGCCCGTGCCCAGGGGGGTGTGAACAGCTACCAGGACCAGACGGAGAGCGACACTCCTCAGCAGAATCAGGTGAGACTTAGAACAGCCTGATGGTATTAATGCCGTTTGCTTGGTTTTAAGGATGGAGTTGTATTTTGTATTATTGTTATTGTTATTGTGATTATTTGTTATTTGTTATTTTTATTTTTATTTTTATTGTTGTTGTTATTATTATTATTATTATTATTATTATTATTATGACTAGTACTATTTTT